CTCAGGACCTGCGGAGAGAGGCGTTGGTGTGAGGAGCTGCCCCGGGGCCCAGAGGGACAGTGGGCCATTCCAGCCTCCGTGCCACCATCGTGCCTTTGACAGCCGTGCCCCCAGCCCCGACTGGTTTGGGGATGACTGCAAGAGGGTCCAGGCTGGGAGAGGAGGTGCTCCCAAACCAGAGCCTGCTTCCAGGAGGGATTTTCTCCAGGAGCAGCCGGCAGCTCAGAGCCCCACAACGTGCTGTCCGGCTGGGAAGAGCCGAAGGAGCAGGTGGGGAGCTCCAGGTGAGGGTAAAGAAGCAGTGAAAATCTGTAGCCCAGCTTTTTGCAGTCACACAGATGGGTTATCCTGGGGCTAAACAGGATCCAGCGCCCATCCAAGTTTTTGGTTTTGTTTTTTTTTAATGGCTAGGAAACTCTTCCATGTGGCTTCTTTGGTGTCTAATAGCGTGGCAACTTCACAAGTGATACAGGGGATGCCCAGTCTCCTCGGGAAAGGCAGGTATCCCCAAATGATCTACCTGTCATCCCTCACAATGGGAAAACCATGCTTCTCATGCATGGAGCAGGGCTGGCAATTTCATAGCTCTCCTCTCTGCACTGAGTCCCACAACAGCAGCAAAATTACCTGGCACCAGCACACAAGGTGACTCAGGGCTTCAGCTTTCATTCTGGCCTCATCTCCCACGCTGACTTGTCAGCTCTTAGCAATGTTGCCCTTGCTTCAATTATTCACCATTAGATCTTTACTTCTTGTTAACCCTAGCCCTTGTCTGCAAAGCAAATCGCAGCCTAACTAGGGTCTGGGGAAGTCAGCCAGAGCCTGACACTGAAGATATCCATGGTGCTGGGCGGCTGGCTGAGTAAAGTCCACCACTGAACAACTGGGAATATCTTTTGGTAGAACAACCCTGCACAGTGCTCTGCATGCTGGGTCCCGCGCTGGGACAGGGGTCCCCGCACGTCACCGCAATACTCATAGCAAGTAAGAACAAGAAGAGCATGCCTCTATGAGTAGCGTGAGATCGCAAAGCAGCTTGTTTGAAAGCAAAGCACCTGGTTTTGAAGGTGGCTTTGGCCTCATTCAGCTGAATCCCAAGCGATGCTGAGGGGTGCAGATGTACAGGCTTGCTCTGTGCCCCTGAACAGCACAGCCCCTGAAGCCACACCATCCCTGGCTGCCTTGCAATTCCTCCCCTCGTCTCATCCACCCCAAGGACTGATGCAGACTTGAGCCTGGTTGGGAAATTGGGATTGCTGCTCGTTTTCCTCTAATAAATCAGCGGTGTGATTTGCACGCTGGTACCTCCTGCCCTCGCAGGCAGTGCCTCCGCTCGGAGAGGGCAGTGGGGAGAAAGAGGGCACTGAATTTAGCTGCTCTGCCCTGCCTGCACGCTCCCGTCAATCAGCAGGTGATCCATTCACGGCCATTTATTTCTGGCTGCAAGTGGATGATTTGGAAGCCATTTCAACAGTTGTTCAGACTCCTCAAAATAGGCTGCCTGCAGCTCCAGGCTCCTTGCTCTCTCCTGCTGCTTTCTTCTCCTCCTGAATAACTCACACCAAAAAACCCACAATTGCCTGGAGGGCACCGCACAGCTCCGATCCTCCTCACCTCCCCACCTTCACCTCCCAGCATGACATTTCAGCAAGGGTTTTGGCTTACATCCCTCTCCTCTAAGCTATTAGGGTTGATATCCTAAATGAAACCCGGGGCTCAATATTTGTTAGAGATAGGAGGCTTGCTGAGCAGGATTGCCCTGTGCCAGACATAGCAGGGTCTACCTGCCAGGGTAGCTGCCGAAGACTGCCAGGCTCTCCTGGCTGTGTGACCAGCAGCTCTGAGTCCTAGCAAAATCCAAGGGTGGACTTTTGTCTGTTCCTGGACTGTACAGCTGTGCAAGAGATATTTACCCTTGTTGTGCACTTAGGGAATTTAGAGATTTAAAAGAATCATAGAAGAAAAACATGCATCAGCAGCTTACAAGGCCATTGAGAGAGCCCAGGACCCAAGCGAAGTCCTACGTAAAAGCAGCAAGAGGATTCAGCACCTGAGGAGCCAGGAGCGGAGGCCAGGCTGCTTCAAGCATTTTGCAGAGACCATTTCAATTGTCTCATTCAATTGCCATGGGTGGAAAAAATAATCTAGTTAGATGTCAAAAACCTCCCATCAGGAATTCCAGTTTCCTTCACCTCTGTGCTATAAATACCCCAGTGTGCAAAGGGTGAATGTGGGCCTGTGAGTGGCAGCTGGGAGGCTTATGTCAGGATCAAGCGACGTTTAGCTATTGTTAAATGAAGTGCCACACGCTGGCTCACACCCATCCCTGGGTGCCGTGGTGTTTCCCCACTCAAAGCCAGCTCCGACGGGCCTCGCTAGGCGGTGGGGAGGAAGGGGCAGCCCTCCAGCACCACGTCTCCCCAGCGAGTAGGTGCAGGACAAGGTGGGAATACAGGGAATTTAGGCAAATCTGTCCACATCACTCTCCCCGGCCAGGCGCCGGGTGTGAGCCGTTCCCCTTTCCCACTGTGGGCCCTGTGCTGGCGTGTAGTACCAGAGACCTGGAGGCATCGAAATCAGTGCAGGAGCAGGCGGCAGGTTTTGCTGAGCAAGAGTCAACCTTTGGCTTCTACCCCCAGTTTTGCTGCTGTGATGGTCCCTTGTGATCCTGCCTCAGCAGCTATGGGGCACTTGTTCCAGGTAAGAAAACTGGATAATAAGACAGATAAAAATGTAGGCACTTGGATCCTTGTTTTCTGCTCTGTTATTACCTTCCCTCTCTGGAAAGGAAAGCTTTCCAGGAAGAACATAGCTCTAGCTAACTCAGTCTAGGGAAAGGTAATGGCATTCACAATGCTGCTTCTAATATGTCCTGATTTCAGCTGGTATAGAATTAATTTTCTTCCTAGTAGCTGGCTCAGTGCTGTGTTTTGGATTTAGGATGAGAATAATGTTGATAACATGATGTTTTAGTTCCATACCATAGGACGTCATGTCCAGTATAGAAACTGGGGGAGTTGGCTGGGAGGGGCTGATCGCTGCTTGGGGATGGGCTGGGCATCGGTCAGCAGGTCGTGAGCAATTGTACTGTGCATCACTTGTCTGTCTTGGGTTTTATTCCTCTCTCTCTCTTTGTTATCTCCCTTTTCATTACTATTATTATTATATTTTATTTCAATTATTAAACTATTCTTATCTCAAGCCACAGGTTTTACCTTTTTCCAATTCTCCTCCCCATCCCACTAGGGCAGGGGAAGAGTGAGCGAGCGACTGCGTGGTACTTAGTTGCTGGCTGAGGTTAAACCACGACATAATACTACACTTCCCAACTACTAATCCTCAGTGCTTGGTCTCACAGAAGGAACCTCCCAAGTGTTTTCCCAGCCAAATAATCAGCAGTGATGCTAACAAATAAATAGGGCATCAGGGAAGTAGTATTTTGCATTAGCAACTTTCCTACAGGATATTAAAGCCCCTAATTAGCCGAATCTGATCGTACCCTGATATGGTGTGGGGCCCCACAGGATATGGGCTTGTGAGTCCATGTGCAAAGCTGTTCCAAGAAAAAGCCACAAGGGATATATCTACCAGAGCGCTGAGCTCGCTGCCTGCCCTGCCTGGCACTGGGAGGGCTTCAGCGTGTGGAGAAACACGAGGGGAAGTCAAGGGACTTTGTTTTTTCTCCAGGCTATGGTAATGTATTCCAGCTAGTAAAACAGTGGTGTAAGGAGGACAGAAAAGTCACCCAGGGCAGGGGGCTGGCTGAACTTGCATGAAAGAGGATTTAGGATAGACAGGAGGGCAACTTGTGGAGTTATACAGCAGGTGAAGCATTTGAACAGATTCCCCAAGGAAATTACAAAATCCCTCTTAGAAGATGCCTCTGGTCCTACCTGGCTGGTAGAAGTCTGGGGAGAGCTCCCTGGCCATCATTCTGGCTATGCCCGACTCGTTGTTAGCTGCCTGAGCTGCCTGCTCAGACCCTTCAGCCTTGGCTTTGGCATGAGCCGTCCTGCAGAGAGAAGAGAGGACAACAGTGAGCATCGTCTGAGCCCAGATCGTGCCAGTTCAAGCAGCAGACCCTACCCAGCAAGAAAATCAGATCAGCCCATCTGGCATAACAGCACTCAGCGCTTGCCCACTTGACCCAAAAACCCCACGCTTGAGGAAAAAGACCAGATTTTCAGCAAGTAAGGGGCACAGATGCTTAAGGCTAAGGTGTGAAGGTTGCACATAGCGGCGCAAGGGAACGGGGCAGGTGTATTTGCAAATGCAAGCACGTTCCTGTGTTGCAGAGAGGCAGCAGATGCTGCAAAACGGGCTTGCCACTATGCTGCAAAGCACTGAAAACCTAGCTCGGAGGAAGGGCGAAAGCATCACTGCAGGCATCTTTGGAGCATAAGGGGACAATAACGTGATGGCTGAACACCGCTGTGCTGTCACCAGCACCTCACCAGAGGCACCGTGCCCCTGCCCAGCACACCAGACACATTTTACCCCAAATGTCTCCCGTAGCTCTCCAGAAAAACCACACATGTTGTCCAAGGGGCTCCTTTACTTGCTGCAGCCCCGGGGGCTGCTCTCACCAGTGCTAGGAAAGGCAGAACTATCGCCTCCCTCTCAGTTTGGCTCCCCGAGTCCTCTCCGCTCCTTCCCAGCACATCTCCTCCTTGCTCCATAGGGCTTCAGGGCTATCAGAGTTATTTCACTGGCCGGCTGTCGTATTCCTTGCATGCCTTGCGCTCGGGGCCCTGTGATCTTTACGCTAAAAGCAGGACTGGCTTTACAGCCCAGCTGCTTGCAGTCTGGAAGGGAGCTGACTTCAAACAGCAAAACTGCACCTTAAAAACAAGGGAGGGTGAAGCACCGTATATTCAGCTGCTTTATTTCACCCGAGGCTTACATCGAGCTGCTTTCCCCATGCTCTCGCTATCATGTTTGCCGAGGCTCCCCATATCTCCCTTGCTGTACGTAATGGAGCATACACTAGCTGCACATGCAAAACCACATATTTTTGTGTGGACAGTCAGATAAGCCGTTAGCAGTCCTCAAACATCAATTCACTATGAATGACAACCTTCAATGTGGTCTTAGGGTGTCTGATGAGCACCTTTCAGACTTAGGTCTCATCCCTGCAGTGAAAATGCTCCAGAGGAATTTTTGGACTGTCAGTCATGAAATCAGGATTAATTCTTTCCCATTAAACTGAGATGCAGTACGCAGACAAGACTAGCTTTAGTCTGAATATTCAACAGGTGCAATAAAAGGTGATAGAAATGCTGTTCTGAGTCATCAGAAGGTAGAAGATATATGTATATATACACATACACACCCACCCCATTTTGAGTAGCTGCAGGGAAAGAACTAAACGTAGGGCACTAATCCCAACTGATGCAGGCAACAGTGTGACTTGACGGGGAGCCGAAAACGCTGTTCAGGGCCCTGCGATAGAGAAGAGGGTGTGGAGCTGCTGTGGCTCAGCCTGTCTCTCCCTGGGATGACATCCCACTCCGCTGGAGCTGTGATTCACCTCCCTGCCCACACTCACACGTTATCTCCCCGCTTTCTCTGCAGGCTGAGCTGCCTGGGATTGCTGTCATTCTTGGTCTTTTCATCCAAAATTATTACAGCTCCTGAAAAACCCAGAGACAAGACATGATGAGGCAGAAAGCAGCAATTTTAAGCCGCTGCTCGCAAGCAGGAGGTCTGAGGCAGCTCTGAACAGAGAAAGCACCTCCTTTTTTGGTAGGATATAATCAGCGTGATTAATTCCACTATAATCTGGCAGGGGCCAAGGGGGATGTTCCTGTGCTCTCCATGCCTAGGGGATCAGAGTGGGCTGCACGTGGGGCACACAGCCTGCCCAGCGCTGGCCCCGGGAAGAAGCTTGCAAAGTGAGGATCCAGCTCTTCACCCCCGGCAGGACGTGCTCCGACCCCTGGCTTTGTCCTGCTGCTCTCAGAGGACAGGATTCACCATAAAGAGATAAAATCCTCCTTTTCAGCCGCTCGCTGAGCCAGCCAGAGGCTATCCCGGCCACTTCCCAGCCAGATAATCGGCCAGCTGGCTCCAGCTAGGGGAGTAGCACGCAGTTCCTGGCAATCAGGTGGATGCTTTCCTAAAGGTGACTTCCAAGAAAATAGTCTGGAAGAGGACTGGATGCAGGGTCTGCTCCCTCCGCTAATAAGGACAGAGCCAGACTCACGCCGCTGTGTTAGCAAATGGGTGCAGATGGTTCCTGCATGCGCAGCTTTCCCCCAGCATCTGGGGCCAACGCAAGGGGAACAGCCTGGGGGTGTTGGAGGTGACAAGGCAGCTCCCAGTTACACTCTTCTCCTGCTAGAGATTTCCTTTCCTCCAGAGAAGCTGCTGGATGCTATCTGGCTGCTGCATGGGGCTCAAGTACTGCAGTTCCTACAGGTAAAGAGATGGCGAGGCCAGGGAGACCCCAACCTGGGTTGCAGAGGCTGTGGTGAGGATACCGTGGGTGGTGGGGAGCTGACCCGGCTGGGCTGAGCCATCGCTGTGAGCTGCCGTGGTCCCAAGGGTAACAGGGCTCTACAATGAGCCCTCCTGGGCACAAAGCGGTGGGAGGCCATGGGGCAGCTCCCGAGCTCCATGCACAGAGCTGTGACAGCAAGCTGAGCAGCACGACTTTAGGATCCCCCACTGCCCTGGGGATGTGAGCTGCACAGCAGCTTTGCTGGGCTCCCTCATTCTGCAGGACACACCTGACCTCTGCTCCTGTCCCCCCTGCTTGCAAAGCCATCCAAAAGTGTTTGATTTGGGGGGACTGAGATCAACACAGCTGCAGCTTCAAATCCGGCAGCTCCAGCACACCATGTCTTGGCCCTGCCAGCATCCTGGGGAGGCCGTGGCACAAGGCAGAGCCTGCTCTCCCCCAGCCAGCACCCTGACCCTGGCAGGGATGCTGGTGCCCTGCGCTGGGTCCCTCCATTGCTGAGATCATTTATTACAGCGGCAGCCAGGTGATGAACATCTAGCTTACGGAGACATGGCATGGTGTTTCAAGTACATCTCCCCCAGCTGTGCCGCGCACCCCGGGGCACAAAGGGAAGGCACTGCTGCTTGCAGCCCTCCAAAAAGCCGCTCCGAGGGTTTAGGAACACCGTGACAAAGCACAGCCCGGAGGAAAGAGCCCAGCCATAACAGTAACTTCTAACTTGCCTAGAGTATTTCTGAATTTATTATTTATCCGTATGGCTGGCAGAGAAAAACTTGGCCCCAGCTGCAAAGCAGGAGACAAATACCAGCCACCCTGGGAGAGCGCAGCACACACAACCTGCAGCACAAAATCCTCTCCCAGCCCACAGCCTGGGGTCTGCTTGGCACAGCAGCTGAAAAAGAAAAAAAGCTCAGGCAGGTTTGAGGGAGGCAGGAAGGTGATCTTTGAACCTTAGACATGAAACATATAAGAGGAAAAATTTCTTTGAAGGTTAAGATCTGCTCAAAAAAACAGAATCAGCTTTTGCAAAAAGGAAAATGCTGGCCTTTTATTATATGCATATAAATTTGATACTTTTCAGGCAGCACTTGAATCAGGGCCACAGTTTGTTTATTTACTGCTGGTTGCGCTGTCAGCTCCCATCGCCTCTGCAGAAAGCAGCCCCTGCAAAAACCAGCAGAGGAGAAAGTTTGGAGATGGAGGAGGTCAGGGTGAAACTGAAGCAAAGGCCCACGGATTTTATAGCACCCAGCAGCAGAATTCAAAAGCCTTTTTTTGAGGCGGTGCTGGAAAATGAGCCATGAACATTAAACACGTCCAACTGAGGGGCCGTTACAAACCAACGCCGGTGCTGCCCATCCCAAGCGAGGCAGTACTGCCCGGGATGAGCGCTTCCCAGTTTCACCCTGAGCCATCTCCGCAGGCAGAGCCATTAAAAATAGCTCCAGTGAATTCTTTGCAAGGAGGAGCCGCATCCCTGCGCTGAGCCGAGGGGAGGTATGCGGGCAATGCCTGCAGCCCCCATCCCAGCCTGCCAGCAGCATCGGCTGGGTCACGGCGGCTGCTTTGGGGCTGCCCGGGCAGGGAGGTTTCACACGCTGGCTCAATGGGTGGGAGAGGGACGGTTAAATGCATCTGCTGTTTTATTTGCTCCTCTGGCACGGCTCTAATGCTGTAATTGTTTTTGTACTAGTGCAGGACAGAGCACCACTCCTGTCCTTCCCGGCTGTCTGCCAGAAACACTGCCCAAATCATTCCTCCGACTGCTACTGAAATCCCCTGTGGATACACGAGCCACTGCTGAGTACCGTGCTAACAGGTGAGACCCAAAGCCAAGCCAGCATGCCCGTCTCTTTGGACAGTTTATGCAGTTTTGCACATCCACATTGGATTAGACTGTAAATGAGATTGGAATTAGCAGAGAATACTGCAAATACCAGACGGGGCTGGGGCGCCTGCAGGTGCAGCAATGACCTTGCGGCTAGAAATAGGGGAAGAGCTCAGCTCTCTGCCCAAGCTATTGCACATTTGCTTATTAAGGGAAAGACAGACCTGTCCAGCACCATCCTTCCTTCTCCAGGGTCTCCCTCCTCCCATTGATTCAGCAAACCTTGAGCAAGGACCAACTGAACACCTTTTTCTTGCCATTCTTGGTATCATGAGCTGCCAAGAAGGCCATTAAGCAAATGTTAATTCATCAGTCAGCTCTAGGAAGGGAGACTTCTGCTCAATTCCCCTCTCCTGGAAACTGGCTTTTCCATTCCCAGGGAAATCCCTGCT